ATGAAAGTTTAAAGGAAGACTTAAATGAAATGGCAGAGGTATTATAAAAATATAAAATCCGGGACTTACACATTTTATTGGCACTTTAAAACAATTAACTTTTAATAATTGTCAGGAATTTGCTAAGATTGAAGATTCAAACATAATGCTATGGCTTGGCCATTGTTATGATTATAGATGGGCCGATGCGCATTTTCCCCATCAATATTTTTATATATAAAAATTTGTTAGCTTCGATACTAAAGTAATACTATAAATGAGTCAATGTACTTTCATGTGTGTGTACTACTACGCATCTATACATATAATTCTATTTCATTTACGTGATATTTAATCAAAATTTTATAACCATTTAACCATGTTAACCATTAATTCAGCCGACATTAAGATCATTTTGGCCCATGACCAACATAATGCGGGCTAGAACTATGGAAAAATTTTTTTGCTGAGTTCTTATTATGTCTTGAGCCTAAAAATAAAATGTATTATTTTTGTAACGTACGTACGTATGTAAATAATTGAATAACAATTTGGAATTAGATTGAATTTTGTCCAGCAAAGAGTGCGCATGCGTGCGCATGAATGCGCATTCATGCACAGTTTTTCGAAAAATGCGCATTTTTCCCATCTCTAGTTATGATTATGAGATGGGAACTAAAAAGGATGAAACAAGGAATTAATTTTCATTAATAGTCTGCAGACATGAACAATTCTAATGGAATATATCGAGTCTAAAATTGTTATTACAATACTTAGGAATTGGAGTTAAATGGACAAGAATAAAGAATTTGTGTGTTATCTGAAGTTTGTTAAGACAGGCAATCGTAAGAGAATTTTTAGAACTGTCATTTATTACCGATGTTATGACGAATCCTATAATTGGGTTAACAAATAAATTATTTATATTTGGCATTCTAAAATTTCTAAAGCTACGCAATCCTTTAGGCTATTTAAGTTCATGAATAATTACTGTTTAATTTTATTTTATTTGCATTAGTTTGGTGGATGGGTATAAAGAACATTTATTAGTCTAAATACTTAAAAAACTTTTCAAGCACATTAATGATTGCTATTTAATTTCATTTTATTCGTTAACTTAGTTTGTGAGTATAAAGAACATTTATTAATCTAAGTATTTAAAATAAGTTATTCAATTTCATGAATAAAACTGTATATTTGATTTCATTTCATTCGTATTAATTTATGAATGAGCATACAAGTTACTGTGATCACACAATAATCTACCAACACAAAAATCTGAAACTTTTCATTAAAATATTAAATGGAATTGTTTCTATATAAACCTACACGCTTAAATAACCTAAAATTTAAAGATTCCAATTCAATTTAAATTCTATTCTTGTAATATAGCTTATGCATCACGATTTTTTGAATTTTATTTTATTTTTATTTTATTTTTATTTTATTTTTATTTTATTTTTATTTTATTTTTATTTTATTTTATTTTTTTTTGAGGATGTCCTTGATTTAAGGTTTAATGTTTAATGTTACACGAAGATTTTTTGTCAAGTCACACAAATTGCTGGTGCGGGAGTAATTTTCGGACCACCGAACATAGATTTCACAACGTATACAAACGCAAAAAACGCATATAGTATTCTTTTTTCTCCATTGCTTGTTGATTTATTTATAGCAAATATTGCACATAAATCTACCCCTTTTCCAGATTTACTAATTTATCATGTGCATTCAATTATGCAATCGGTTTTAAACTCGCTATACATAACACTTTAAGAATTTTCTTTGTTCGATTTCATAATCGTAAGAATGGATGCGCCTCAGAACAATATCGCTGAAGTTACTGCTGATATCACTAAAATTACAGACAAAATTTCTGTAATCAAAGAAATTTATGAAAACATTCAATATAATAAAAGAATTTGCATTTCATTAATGGAGCGCATTGATGTTGTGGATTTCGCTATTACTGGAAACTTACGGAAAAATATATTAAATTTCACATCTCTCGTGCAAGTTTTAGACAGGACGGAAATTTTTATGAAAAATATCTCGCAATTATACAGTTATTTGACTTATATGGATTTAGATTATCATTCATTCGAAAGGGAATTTTATGCACTAATAAATGAATTTTCTTCAGTCTTCCGAGGGATACCACAAGTCAACATACGGAATGACAATGATAAAGAAAATTTTGATCAAGATTCTAATCAAATGAAAGAGGTACATACGTTTTACATTTTAATAACTAATTCCTTATATTTATTCTAGTAATTCTAAAAAAAAATATCTATACATACTAGTTTGT